CTTCCGTTGGCATCGATTGTAGAACCAAGCAACGTGAATTCTTTGACAACCTCAATCTTTTCTCCATTTATTGTGATGCACTTACTGGTCTGGTTGTGAGGATTTTTTTTTTTTTTTTATGTTGAGGTGTAATTCATACTGCAGACTGTAGTCTTTAATCTCCATCAGTAAGTGCTTCAAGTCATTTTCACTTTCAGCAAGCAAGGTTGTGTTTTCTGCATATCACAGGTTATTAATGAGTCTTCCTCCAATTCTGATGCCACATTCTTCTTCATATAGTCCAGGTTTTCAGATCATTCAGCATGCAGATTGAATAAATATGGCAAAAAGATACAACCCTGACACACTCCTTTCCTGATTTTAAACCATGGAGTATCCCCTTGTTCTGTTCCAATGACAGCCTCTTGGTCTATGTACAGGTTCCTTGTGAGGACAATTAAGTGTTCTGGAATTCCCATTCTTCTCAATATTACCCATAATTTGTTATGATCTACAGAGTCGAATGCTTTTGCATAGTCAATAAAACACAAGTAAACATTTTTGTGGTATTCTTTGCTTTGAGCCAAGATCCATCTGACATCAGCAATGATATCCCTTGTTCCACTCCCTTCAGGTAGTAGGCACTGTTGAAAATACAAAGCTGACTATGACCTACCCCCTCCTTTGGTTTAAATGGGTCCATTGCCGTGGAGCTGATTCTGACTCATAGCAACCCTGTAGGACAGAGTAGAACTGTCCCAAAGGGTTTCCAAGGCTGTAAATCTTCACGGAAGCAGACTGCCACATCTTCCTCCTGCAGGGTGGCTGGTGGGTTCAAACTTCTGACTTTGGCTTAGCAGCCCAATGCTTTAACCACTGAACCACCAAAGCTCCTTTAAGACAAAATAGTTGACAGAAAATCTGAAAAATCCTCAACAGGCTTCTGAGGTGGTGGAAGGAGGGCAGGACCCAGGGATGCCAAGAGAAGACAAGCACATCATACTGCTGAACTGCACGTCTCTCTGTCAGGGAACAGCTGCTGCTGGGGGAGCCATCTGTCTGTGCAGCCCTTAGATCCCTCTCCCCCACCTGTACACACTCCCCATTCAGTCAATCCCTGTGCTGCTGACATCTCCCCACGTGGGTGGGAGGCTTCACATTTTCAAATATGTCAAATTTCAAACATTTTCAGATAATAAATACCTCAGTAGCTTCGTGTCATGCTGGGGGTGTTTGGGTCAAAGCCACCTCAGCAAGTGCCTGTCAGCTTGGGTGAAGGTTGGAGGGAGGGAGATGGTGTGTCCAGGGTTCAGAAAGAAGTTTGGTGGATGAAAGTGGCAGTAGAGTTACCATAACCAGAGGAGGAGCAAGCATTTCCTCCCTAAAACTCTATACCCTCTGTCAAGCCCTCGGTTGGAAACTGAAGCAGGCACCAAGCCTGAGCCCCAGGTAGGGTTGCTCTGAGGGGCTGGGCTAAGCCTCTAGGAAAGAATAGCAATCACATCATATGGAAAGGTTCTCTCTAGATCTGTCTGCTTACGTAAAATGACATATTTACAAGTTCCAGACTCCTATCCAGACTCGTCCTACCACTCCCTCCTGGGGCCCTCAGTGTCAGTTGCCCAGTGGCCAGTGTAGAGCATTTGTCCCTTCACCAGCTGTGTCCAGCCCTCAGCTCAGGCTCTGTGCTACTGTCCACAGAGCCTCCAGTGTTCCCATTTTTCAGGTCTTTGACTAACCCCCTAAGGGCTCTGCTAGATTGCTGTGTCCATAAAGGCCTCAGACATCAAGGTTCCAGGGCAGGGTGACCCATGAGTGTAGGCATCAGGAGTCAGCAGTTAGGGTCAGGGCTTGGTCAGGCCCCAGCTCTCAAGCAAACTAATTGTTTCTGGGAGGCCTGGATGGCAAGCATGGTCAGAGGGTCCCAGAGGCAGCCAGAACAAGAGCTGGGAAGCCTGAAGGCAGGAAGGGCAAAGCAGAGGTCAGGAAGGCAGTATTGCCTAAGCCAAGGAGGGCCCTTTCCCTGACCTCCATGGCCAGAATCTTTGGGGCCCAGGACCAAGGCAGTCAGCAGGTAAGGAGGGCAGCTCCTCACCCCATGAGGCTGTACAGAGCTGGCATGTGGGAGATTCTAGGATCAGTCTGGAAACTCATGTACTCACTTTACTGAGAGTCAGTTTCCCTAATGTAGCTCCTCTGAGCCTCCTCCAGTCCCACTCTGTAGTGTGTCCTCACATCCTGACCCTCCAGTATGTCAGGGAACTCTCACTGCTTGGAGAGCAAGGCGGGGGTGGTGGTGGTGAGGAGCAGCTCCCTGGGGATGACAGCTGCAATTCCTCAGGTGAATTAATTGCCCAAGAGTCAAACTGTCCCCTCAGGCCAGATGAGGAACTGCTCCCCAGGCACCTTCCCCACTGCCTGGAAGGGGGAAGCAGGAAGGAGGAAGGGATTGCTGGAGACTGCAGAGTGAGTGATGGCAGGCCTGAAGCTGGGTGGTCTGAAATAATTTCCCTGAGCACATCCAGATTTCTCCAAGTAGTTTTCTCATCACGGAATTAAATTTTGGAAACATCAAGATCTAGAGAATGAGTTCCCAGAAGACTAGAAAATAGAAAAAAATAGGCAGGTTGTATTCCACCTGTTGGTGTGTGCTGTAAGACCCAAATAACCTTGACCTTCTTGACCTCATCTCACCTGTAAGATCGTGGTTTTTCCAGCACTCATACAGTATTTGCTGATTTAGTCTTCTCCAAGTATTATAACCCCTTGCCAAATAGAGCATTTTAATTACCTACTGCTGATGGGAAATACATTTACCTTAAAAAAAAAAAAAAAAAGTACTTCCCAACTGAATAATCTCAAAAGTAAAGAAATGCAAAAGATTAATAATTTTCCTTCCATTCTTTTTGCATTTAATTTATGTATGCATTTATTCATTCAGAAATATTCACAGAGTCACTATGAGGATATTCTAGTGGGGGACAGGAAAAAGAAACACATTTAAGTAGTATGACAACTGGAGGGACCTGGTGGTGCAGGTTAAGCAATTGATTAGAGATTTGAACCAGGGGCTTCCAACCATTTCATTCTGGTTGGACCTCCTGCTGAGAATTTTTATTTCCACACCAGGTGGAATCTACAATTCCTACAACTGTAGATCTAAATCAGAATCTACAATTTAACAAGTTGTCTATAAGATGTCTACATAAGAATCACCTAGGGATCTTGTTAAAATGCAGATTCTGATTCAGTATGTCTGGGGTCAAGAGGCAAATTCTCAGCAGAAGATCAAACTGCA